CAGGCACTTATCAGATGTGGTGCTGACGTCAATAAGATGGATAAAAAAGGAAGAGTGGCCTTGATGTATATTGGCTTAGCAGACTCCAATAAGGTTTACAGTTCTGATGCCGGAATATTAACTCATGAACTGATTAACGCTGGTGCTGACGTAAACAATACCGACGGCGAAGGCAATACAGCTTTGATGTACAATGTGATGTCTGAAGCTTCCGTAAAAGCATTAATAGACAAAGGCAAAGCAMCGGTGGACTCAAARAATGATTTAGGYAGAACAGCATTGTTTTATGCGTTGGTTGGATCCAACTTATCTGCTMGRTATCTCGTAGAAAAKGGTGCAAATCTTCACWTGACAGACAACTATAATGTCAGTGTGTTATCGTATTTCATTCATCACTGTATTAATAACGGAGGRGCCGATGAGAAATTAATGCAAGAAAAGTTTGCTTTTTTGAACGATAATGGAGTCAAGAAAGAAACAATTGTGAATGCGCTTATCAATGCAGTATTCTGTAAAYTGCCACTTTCAAAAAGTCCAATAAACTCCATCTCAATACTGTCCATTACAACATTGCTTACTTATGCTATCAAACTATCAAGGAAAAGATTAAGCTTCACGAAMGATAATATATGCAGATTATTGCAAGACCTGATGGTTTCGATTGACAAAGACGAATTTTCTGTGCCAGTATCTGATTTATTAAAAGAACTCGRTAAACTTCTGGAACTTGGTGCGGATCCAAATACTTCTGATGAGCAAGGCAACACCATTGCACACCACATCACTTTACTAGGGATATATGATAACACTGTTTTTGATGTTCTTCTTTGGTTGGAGAAAAAGGGACTGAAAATCAACAAGAAAAACTATAATAAGGAAGGACCTCTTCTCTTTATGCTAACAAAGTCTGTTAATGAGAGAAGGCTTAATAAAGAATGCATTKTAAATATGAGCATTTTTTTCCTTGAAAAAGACAGAACGATATTAAAAGATAGAACTCAAACCGGCGATTCAGTATTTCATCTTTTCAYMAAGCTTTCAAGTGTAGGAGATTCAAACGAGGAATCTTTAGAGCGATSYATAGTTGAATTATTACGATTGTTTTCWMATTCACGATGCGAACTCAGTCRTATTGTTAACATACCTAACGATGAATTGAATACTCCTCTTCATGTTTGGGCGGCCGGATCACAGCCAAAATCAAGAGCAGGGAAACGTAATAATCAGCATGCTTCTGAGAWATTGAATTCATGGCAGGGACCTTCAGAAGAGATACTTGATCASCTTTTGCGTTGTGGTGCTGTGCATCATGCAAGAAATCTGAAGGCCGAAACTCCTCTTCATATGTGCAGRACCTGGGCTGCCGTTAAGCTATTGTTTAAAGCAGGAGCAAAGACGAATGATGTAGACGCATTAGGACGATCTCCTTTACTTTCAGCAGCAAAGAATCTTCTTTTTCTTGAGAATCCTGGCTGTTTTTATCCGGACGTTTCACCAGATGAGGCACCAGCGTTTTGGGAAACAGTTCTGATCATGGGTTTTGATTTGTGGACTTGCGACAGGAATGGAGATTCTATCATTGGTATTCTTATAAAGGAAAACTCTTTTGAGCTAGCTGATGGTTTGATTCAAAATACTTGTAACAACAGCAGAAATCTACAAGATCCAATTCTGGTGGGCGTGTTGAATGCTATCTGCAAAGATGAATCCACTCAAACAACCTGGAAAAGTATGATACTTGGGAAATTGCTCAAACAACTCAAATCTACAAGACGGTCATTAGATATGAGCTTACCTCTTCGATCCTGCTGCATGAATATCATTGATCACTCTGCTTCAATAAGATGCACAGAAGCAACGGAACCTGATTCTGTTCATTGTGAAATTGCTAAACAACTTCTACGCTACGGAGCGTCTGGTGAATCCTGCCTTGATGTTGCTGAAGGATGTCCACCCCTACACGCTCTACTTTCTACTCCTATCTCTATGGAAGAAAGACCTTTTGTCATACCCTGGACATCGTGCTCTCAGAAACACAAGAACCAGCTAGCTGAAGTTGCAAGAGGACTCAACTATAATTTCCAGGAACCATATTGGTATCATAACAAGGAAATCGGCCGTGGGGCATTTGGGCAAGTCTTCGTAGGCATTCATGAGAAAGACAGCATGGAAGTAGCCGTTAAAAGAATCCAATATACGCAACAGGATCGAGAGGAAGATATTCGAGAGATTAGAACTTTTGCTTCTCTTCCTAAATGCGAGCATATTGTTCGTTATTTAACTTTTCTTCGAAAGGCTAACTATTCCTTTATAATTATGGAATTGATGGAAGGAAATCTGATCGAATTCTTTTACAGTGTTTTTTACGACCAGAGGAAAACCAAACAAATCTGCCGAGATGTGGCACTAGGCTTAAAGTACCTTCATGAACAGAACATCATTCATCGCGATCTCAAACCAACTAACATTCTTTACAAAACCTATCCCAAACTTTCCCTGAAGATTGCTGACTTTGGTTTGAGCCGTCGTGTAGATGTCAATACTACATTTACCGTAATGGCCACCGGAGTCGGGACTCGTGGGTGGATTGCGGTGGAGGTTATGAAATCTACCACTCACGAGCATTCCACGTCATCGGATGTCTTTTCGTGTGGTCTTGTTTTTCATTATATCTTGTCAAAAGATCACAGACATCCATTCAGTCCAGCGGACTGCACTGACAAAAGTGAGCTGGAAATCATAACTAAAACAGAAAATAACATCTTGAATAATAACATGGAAGGATGGGACAGCTGTCTCGATCCGGAATCATCCCATGTTATTACAGGAATGCTTAATTGTACTAACGAGAAAGAAAGACCGACCGCATCAATGTTGTTACACCATCCAATGTTCTGGTCAAAGAAGAAGAAGCTTGATTTCCTCAGCGCTGTTGGTAACCAAGAAGAATTCGAATGTCCACGTGCTAAAAGGACTGCTCCATTAACAATGGTCGAACAAGATCTAGAGAACGTGTTTGCAACGATAGTGAAGTCTTGCACGTGGGATGATCCACGCTACACGCAGACATCGGTGATTTTCATTGAGATGCAAAAGCCAATAGTCAAACATGATAAAAAAGGAAAACCTTACAACGTTCCAACAAGAACGTACGATATCGGTTCTGCGGTAGAGTTGGTTCGATTCATTCGCAATGCCATCGCTCATGTAGCAAGTCGAACACCCGCAATCCAGGCACAAATTCTCGATGCTGTATTTCTGGAAGAATTTCCAAATCTCGTGATAGAGGTGTTCAAAGCTGTGACTGCACACGGATGGGACGTTTCTAGAGAGGAAATCAAACATGTCTTGGCRAATGACTGACAGGAACACTCTTCACATACAATGGTAAGTATRMTGTGTGTGTTGAGTGTAGCCCACAAATGAAAATAAGCCGATACCAGATGTAAGGAAGAAGGACTCCATTACTTCAACATACTGAATGTCAGTAAAAATACTCTATTCTAACTTAAATACTAGTGCCTCTATATCTTGAAAAAAAAACGTACTAACTGTGTACTGCTTGATAATTTTGTTGCTTTTTCCTAAAAGACGATGTTTCAAGTTTTAAAACCCTTGCATGTGACGACAAAGCAACTTCATCTGGAGGACAAAACAAAACATATATGTCTGCCCTCTTGTGAACTCAGTAGAATCCATTGTTTTGTCCTCCAGTTGAACTGAATTACAATGAACTGCAAGGAGTCTATTGTAGCGTTGTACGAGTAAGAAAAAAAGATTGCATTTTCTTCCCCCCACCCCCAACTCGTTTTATCATGTTTACATTTTCTGGAGTATTCAGAAAACGTGTGTGGCATTGTCAGTTGTAAAGTAACATAAATATTAATCTAGCATTTCGTGTTTAACAGAGTACAGAACATGTCAGGAACTTTGCTGCATGCTGAAAAGACTCACCACAACATTTCTTGCTCCTCTGGTGGCGATGGATTTTGTCCTCGCTACGGACCAATCATGGAACCCAGTTATGCACAGCAGACTGTATAGTTATCGATTTTATTACAGACTGATTGACATTGCATTTTATATATCGTAATGAATAGGAAATAACATTGTAGTTTTGTAGTTTTACATGGCAGTCAAACCCGTTAAAGTAGTTCAGAGATGTAAAGACATCAAGTTCATAGCAAAGTCATTTGATATTTTATGTTCAATGTTTTGCGACAATATTTAATATTCTGCAAAATATCATTACAATGCCGATAGCATTTGATATTCTAGGTATCTGTAGTATTAAATTGAATTGATTATTTCCTGCGAATTTCAAAAAGAGGACTTTGTTGKAGTTGTCTTGATGTCTTTTCAGTGACTGTAGTTTAATATAGGAAAGGTAGTAATACCTTGATGTACAGGTGGAACTAAATATTACTCTAAATTGTACATAAGACGCACTTTTTAAATGGATTTCATTGTACTTTATCCATTGAAAGGGGGAAAGGGGAGGGGGGGAGGGCTATTAGGCTTTTATCATGTCTATTACAAGACGCGGTCAGTACATGTACATGTCCCGTGTAAATTGTCAATGATAAACTAACTATATCTCCAAGGTAACCTCGTGCGAGACGAGGAAAGTGTAAACAGCTATTGATCTTAGATGTTTTTCTTAATTCATGTACACTTGTATATGGAAGCAAGGCTTTAACATACATTATTGACTCATTTGCATAAATTTCAGAAATGGAWTTTCAAGCTACAAGAAAATCAAGCGCATAAATAAAAAGAGCTTRATAGCTCTGTTAGCAATTCAAAAACTTGCATTTTATGCATTTTACAAAGGTTTTTTTATACAAAAATAAACTTATACGAAAACTCGCATGTGCATGACATGATAATGACATCGAACGCATGCACATATGGCACCAAACATATTACGTAATGATGACTTCACACATGCATCACCATGGCAGCCTGATCATTCAGTCGACGAATGACGTCTTCCTTTTGTTCGGGCCATAGTAGCATATTATGGTTCATCCAGGGGGGGAGCTGCTTGGTGGTCATTTTGGGATTCATTTTGACACAAACAATGCGTGACGTAGAACAGTTCTCGGAGTAGACGTCAGAGATCCTTTTGATCTCATAGCGCACGCGTACTAGGTCTTGGTCATTCACGTTGTTGAATTTATTATCGACTCCACTGCTGGTTAAAGATTGCCAGAGTCGTACATATCCAGGGCTGCAGAAAACGATGTATTTCTTGGCCTCAAGGATCTGCTTGTCCACCCACATGTTGAATCCAATCTCGTTCATGTGGACAGAATCGACTTTGTCGAAAACGACCTGGAAAAAATGGGAATATAGCGCAGTTTTAATTTAATCCATCCTGATAGAGTGATCATCATTATCATCATCATTATTATCATCATCATTATCATTATCATCATCATTATCATTATCATCATTATCATTATCATCATTACCATCATCATTATCATTATTATCATTATCATTATCATTATCATCATCATCATTATCATCATCACCATTATCATTATCATTATCATCATCTTTATCATCATTTTCATCATTATCACCATCATTATCATTATCATCGCCATCATTATCATCATGATTATCATCGTCACCATCATCATTACTAGCATCAACATTACTTTATCATCATCATGATATCAGTACCTTATATCCCATGGTTCCCAGTTTGTAGGCGATGGTCGCCACTTCGTCCGAGAACTTTTCGTTTTCAGGTAAATATGACGCGAAGTAAATGTCGTTATTTTGTGGTTTCATGGCTGAAAGAACAGCAAAAAGGCATTTAGCTAMCATGTGGCGGACTGTAGGGCTGGRGGAAGGGATAAAATTCACTWTGAAGGGGTTGAMTGTGGGGGTCAGGGTAAGGATATAATCCACTTAGAGGGAGGGGGGTTGACTGTATGGGGTTGGGTACTTACTATTGTTAATTTTGATGAGTTCTGTGTAAAGAAAGAAAAAATTAATAGTTAAAGCAAATCGATATTTAAAAAAATATCAAAAATATTAAAAAAATAAATGAATGAATGGATGGATGGGTGAATGGATGGATGGAAGAGCAGATAAAGATATGGATAGATGAATGAATGATTGAAAGGATGATTGGAGGGATTGACGGACAAACGGATGAATGGATCAAAATGGGTTGATGAATAGATTGATGATATTAATTATGTGGACTAACCGTCATCAGGATTGTGATCTTTCATGGAATTTCCTTCAAGAAATATTCACAATTATAAGAAGAAATTATGATTACAGCGAAAACACTGTCGTAAAAATGGTTAACATTTTCTGAAAATTCCTTGGTACTTCAAAATTGTTTTTATTATTGGGATCCCTGTCCTTTGTTTATTGTCATCACTATGGTTGTTGTTTTTATTATTGGGATCCCTGTCCTTTGTTTATTGTCATCACTATGGTTATTGTTTTTATTATTGGGATCCCTGTCCTTCAGTCATTACCTGACGATCCACATGTTTTGCGTCGGTACAGAATGAAAGCCAAGAAGGCAATCACCAGTATTCCCCCCAAAACTCCAGCAAGATATGAAGCCCAGTTGTCTGTTAAAACACGATAATATCACTTAACATCATTTTATGATCGACATTAGAAAATACGCAGAGTTTAGCTTACCAATCGGTGGATCATGTGGTTTAACGAAGGGAATAAGATCTCCTGGAACTGAAAACAAAAGCTTTAAAGATCAGTGAATTGTGTTCGGCAACAAAAAACTTTCTTTTGTTTGAAAACTTTCGTGTTTTCTCAAATCAATTACAAAATTCGTTACGATTTGTTCAGATAAACCCAGTGAAACGTCCATACAAGTTACCATCTATTACTCCATTTTCGAATTCATAGCGAAAAACCGCTGCTTTATTTGACAACAGATTCTCTTGCGCAAAAGACCTGACCAAACACAAGAGCAAAAGAAAATGTCTTTCTTACAATAGCCTTGAAGATTTGCATTTTCACCGAGTTGAGACTAACCCTGTATTCCCATAAGAACACAGGTTTAAGCCTTCTGGGAATACAGGGTTAGCCTCAACTAGGGGAAAATGTAAATTGTTAGCGCTATTGTACTTACAACATTTTCTCGTGCTTTCTTTTGTGTCTGGTAAGTTCTTTGCGTAAGAGAATCGGCTGTCAATTCGAGTGTTTACATACTGTATGCAAAACACCGGAAATAAAAATAGCGGAATTCAAACTTAAGCACATAGGTGTTTTTAGAAATAGCATCACGCATTGCATTTTGGTCTAGATTCGGTACAAACATCTTTTGTTCATGCGACCAAATATGGTATTGTCTGTACTGAAGCAAGACCACAATGCACCATGATTTTGTATTTCAGAAAAGTTATGAGAAATATAAACTGTGATTATATACTTACGTCCTTTGTATGGGGGAAAATCGTCAAATGTGTAGTTTCTATCCTTTACATCAAGATATCCAGGCAAAGAAAACACCTATAATAATTATGATAATATTATTGATAATTATATTATTTTAATTAATTTTATTAGTGTTAACATGTGTGCATCATGAGTGGTTCCATTTGTGACTTTGCATGGAACGGTCACGTACATGGAACGAAATCAGGCATCATTCTGGAGGAAAAAATTCCGACTGGGCTGTTCAAAACAAAGAAAAGAATGCAAGCTTAACGGGCTACGTTAAGTTTTTTTACATTATTTTCCCCTCAAGAATGGCGGATAGTACCATGTGACCGTTTCAGTGCTTTTACTACACTTTGCCTAACTGTATCATGAAATGAATATGCCGTTAAACATGATCAGTTCATCTTCATCATCATTACTTACTGCCAACCAAAGTGTTTGGGGAATATTTTCTTCGACCAGCACGTCTAGTATTGTATAATTCTTATTCTAAAGCACCACAAAACATAGCACACGTTAGATCACAAGAACAGAAAGAAAAATATAAACTTTAGTACGACAAACATTCGTTGTACAACCACGGCATACTAGTAAATACTCGCCCTGGGGGGTGGTACTCCTCTCTATATTTGCTATACGGGTATGTGCCGCTCGATAGGGTCCCTATTTCGGAGCTCCAAGTCTGGGTTAAGGTATTATATTTTTTTTGCCCATTTGTCTGGGATAGGGTAGTCTCTTTGTCTGGAAAAGCGTGGTAGTTTTGAACTTGATAAATGCATGATCATGTATATATGTATTAAAAACTGACTTTAGATTTAGTCTGTAATAACAATTTTTAGATTTAGTCTGGGATAGGGTGTACAATTTGAAACTTAAGTCTGGGGTAGGGTATGTAATATCACAAAAATTGGATAAGGGTTTTGACCAAGTTGTGATCAAACGGAAACTATAGTTACCAAGAAAACAGGTACAATATACAAAACTTACATTTAGAACTTCTTTACATTTTTTTTCAAGTGATATGAACTGGATGACTATGTAACCATAGAGACGTTTATCTAAAAGCATTAAGAAAATAGTCATGTAACGATGCATATTTGAACACTATTATAAAACAATTCCACTATTATAAAACAATTCCACTATTATAATAAAACAATTCCACTATTATAAAATGAAGCAAGATAAATATATATATGATTCAAATCAAGAGATCCTGGACTCAAATATATGACCCTATTGCTCATTTTCAACCATTCCCATGAGATTCAAAAGACCGGAGGCCATGTTGGAGGACTGAACAATAGATACTAATGAGAAATCTTTTGTTAAAGTTCCTCCAAGATGGTCGCTGTGACATGAAAACGAAGAATACTCCTATAGTACTAACCTGGTGGTGGCTGCCACGTGACATTTGCAAACCAATCAGAACCATTTTGAATAAACTTAACTTCTATATCCTTTGACTTTGATCTAACTTCACTGATATTGTGCGCTCTCCATGTTCGGTTCAAATCGCGATCTGGAGGATCCGAGCACTTGCCTGTAGCTTTCTCTGTAGATACACAAACAATCATAGTGTATAACATACACACTCAACCAGACCATAAAAATCCATGACGATATTTTATTTCATATTCCATTCCATTGGGTTCCTAATATATCAAAGTGCAGCCCTGTTGCGCAGTTAGCTGGCCGAGGTAGGAAAAAAAATGTTTATCTTTGAACTACAGAAAAAATCTAAGTCATGGTAATAAAAGAAAACCGAATGATAAAATAATTTGAGGAAAGATGGGATGGCAAGGTATTGAAAGTGAACTTGAAAAAATGAATTCTTGAATCAGGCATAAACCGCGCGCACTGTTACGTTTCCRTGGCATTTTTATGTTGTTTTGCTTTCCCTTGCGGACGGAGAGCGACGGAAACGGTACGAAAACGCAACGAAAACACTACGAAAACGCTACAAAAAGCCCGCTAATCATGAGAAACTCACTGTTTTGTTCACAGTTACATCGATTAGTTGATTTATTGTTGTRGTTTTCCTGTGAATCCTACAAGATATAATATAAAACAGTGTGTAAATATACGCCCATTTTAAAAACGTTGTCGGGGAGAACGGCGAGCGAACGGCGATTGTCGAAGAGAGATTGTACGACTATGGACTGTTTTAACTAACAAAAATTCACTTTTAGATAAAACATGGAGACTAATTGGAGCCAATGTTTACCACAGACTTACAATATAAATCAGTTGATATTGCCTTTCAATTACACCCGATTTCAAATGAGTGCGAACTCTGGAATTTTTTTCGAATGCTAAACTTTCGCTCGACCGTCATTCACTCGACCACTTGGTAACCTGGCACAGCTTGAAGCGGGTAAAATCATCCAAGTATAAAAACCACGGTTAATGTATGTCTGTGGGCTAAATTCCTACGGTTTGTGATCGCACTACAAAACGAACTTATTGTAAAAACTAGTTTCGGTTTACTTAACTTTCTCAGCTCACAATTACAACGAAACAGTTGAAAAATAAATAGCGTGACACACACTGACAAGCGCGGGCACTTTAAATCGCTTTTAGTGTTCGTAGGCTGTTCTTTGTTGATTTTTACTAGTTTACTGATTAAAATGAAGAGGTTATCGGACGATATTCGGTGGAAGGCTATTTACCATGAACTTATTTACGGCTCAAGCATTAAGGAAACTTGTAGAGCGTTATTTGTAGGGAAACTTTTGTTTGTAAAATTCGACAACTTTATAAACTTACAGGAAATGTTGCTGTACATACACANTTTGTTTATTGTCATCACTATCGTTATTGTTTTTATTATTGGGATTCCTGTCCTTCAGTCATTACCTGATGATCCACATGTTTTCCGTCGGTACAGAATGAAAGCCAAGAAGGCAATCACCAATATTCCCCCCAAAACTCCAGCAAGATATGAAGCCCAGTATCACTATCGTTATTGTTTTTATTATTGGGATTCCTGTCCTTCAGTCATTACCTGATGATCCACATGTTTTCCGTCGGTACAGAATGAAAGCCAAGAAGGCAATCACCAATATTCCCCCCAAAACTCCAGCAAGATATGAAGCCCAGTTGTCTGTTAAAACACGATAATATCACTTAACATCATTTTATGATCGACATTAGAAAATACGCAGAGTTTAGCTTACCAATAGGTGGATCATGTGGTTTAACGAAGGGAATAAGATCTCCTGGAACTGAAAACAAAAGCTTTAACGATCAGTGAATTGTGTTCGCCAACAAAAAACTTTCTTTTGTTTGAAAACTTTCGTGTTTTCTCAAATCAATTACAAAATTCGTTACGATTTGTTCAGATAAACCCAGTGAAACGTCCATACAAGCTACCATCTAATACTCCATTTTCGAATTCATAGCGAAAAACCGCTGCTTTATTTGACAACAGATTCTCTTGCGCAAAAGACCTGACCAAGCACAAGAGCACAAGAAAATGTCGTTCCTACAATAGTCTTGAAGATTTGCATTTTCACCGAGTTGAGACTAACCCTGTATTCCCATAAGACCTAAGGTTAAGCCTTCTAGGAATACAGGGTTAGCCTCAACTCGGGAAAAATGCAAATTGTTAGCGCTATTGTACTAACAATTTTTTCTCGTGCTTTTTTTCTTTTGTGTTTGGTAAGCTCTTTGCGTAAGAGTATCTTCTGTCAATTGGAATTGGAAAATGGAGTGTTTACATACTGTATGCAATGCAAAACACCGGAAATAAAAATAGCGGAATTCAAACCCTTAGCACATAGGTGTTTTTAGAAATAGCATTACGCATTGCATTATGGTCTAGATTCGGTACAAACATCTTTTGTTCATGCGACCAAATATGGTGTTGTTTGTACTGAAGCTAGACCACAATGCACCATGATTTTGTATTTCAGAAAATTTATGAGAAATATACAAACGGTGATTATATACTTACACCCTTTGTAGGGAAAATTTTTAAATGTGTATTCTCTATCCTTTACATCAAGATATCCAGGCAAAGAAAACACCTATAACAATTATGATAATATTGTTGATAATTATATTATTTTAATTAATTTTATTAGTGTTAACATGTGTGCATCATGAGTGGTTTCCTTGTGACTTTGCATGGAACGGTCACGTCCATGGAACTAAATCCGCCATCATTTGGAGAAAAAAATTCCCACTGGGCTGTTCAAAATAAAGAAAAGAATGCAAGCTTAACGGGCTACGTTCCTTTTGTTTTTGAGTTTTTTTACATTATTTTGCCCTCAAGAATGGCGGATAGTACCATGTGACCGTTTCAGGGCTTTTACTACACTTTGCCTAACTGTATCATGCGATGAATATGCTGTTTATTAAACATGATCAGTTCATCTTCATCGTCAGTCATTACTTACTGCCAACGAAAGTGTTTCGGGAATATTTCCTTCAACCAGCACGTCTAGTATTGTATAATTCTTATTCTAAAGCAAAACATAACACACGTTAGATCACAAGAACAAAAAGAAAAATATATACTTTAGTACGACAAACATTCGTTGTACAACCACGGCATACTAGTAAATACTCGCCCTGGGGGGTGGTACTCCTCTCTATATTTTCTATACGGGTATGTGCCGCTCGATAGGGTCCCTTTTTCGGAGCTCCAAGTCTGGGTTAGGGTAATATTTTTTTTTTTTGCCCATTTGTCTGGGATAGGGTAGTCTTTTTGTCTGGTATAGGGTAGTAGTTTTGAACTTGATAAATGCATGAGCATGTATATATGAATTAAAAACTGACTTTTTGATTTAGTCTGTAATAACAATTTTTAGATTTAGTCTGGGAAAGGGTGTACAATTTGAACCTTAAGTCTGGGGTAGGGTATGTAAAATCACAAAAATTGGTCTGGATAAGGGTTTTGACCAAATTGGGATCAAACGGAAACTATAGTTACCAAGAAAACAGGTACAATATACAAAACTTACATTTAGAACTTCTTTACATTTTTTTACATCATATGATATGAACTGGATTACTATGTAACCATAGAGACGTTTATCTAAAAGCATTAAGAAAATAGTCATGTAACGATGCATATTTGAACACTATTATAAAACAATTCCACTATTATAAAATAAAGCAAGATAAATAGAGGATTTTACATGGGCGCGCGGAGATAAAAGCGACCATGTAATATTCTGTTTATCATATAATTAAATATGAAAGCAAATTATGTCGGAACATATCTTTTTTCTTACTTCCACTATATAGAGAAACCTCGAATGTGTTACTTTCACTAGTGAAAATATCAATTTTACGTAATGGAGAAATATAGGTATTTCATAGATAATTATATGATAAATATATTTATGATTCAAATCAAGAGATCCTGGACTCAAATATATGACCCTATTGCTCATTTTCAACCATTACCATGACATTCAAAAGACCGGCGGCCATGTTGGAGGACTGAACAATAGATACTAATGAGAAATCTTTTGTTAAAGTTCCTCCAAGATGGCCGCTGTGACTTGCTGTAACTTGAAAACGAAGAATACTCCTATAGTACTAACCTGTTGGTGGCTGCCACGTGACATTTGCAAACCAATCAGAACCATTTTGAATAAACTTAACGCCAACCTTTGATCTAATTTCACTGATATTGTGCGCTCTCCATGTTCGGTTCAAATCGCGATCTGGAGGATCCGAGCACTTGCCTGTAGCTTTCTCTGCAGATGCACAAACAATCATAGTGTATAACATACACACTCAACCAGACCATAAAAATCCATGACGATATTTCATTTCATATTCCATTCCATGGGGTTCCTAATATAGCAAAGTGCAGCCCTGTTGCGCAGTTAGCTGGCCGAGGTAGGAAGAAAATATTTATCTTTGAAATCCAGAAAAAAAATCTAAGTCATGGTAATAAAAGAAAACCGAATGATAAAATAATTTGAGGAAAGATGGGATGGCAAGGTATTGAAAGTGAACTTGAAAAAATGAATTCTTGAATCAGGCATAAACC